TAAATCAAATTACCATGTAAATAATTAGATTAATCTTAGGTTTAATTTTAACATGTTTTCTTAATAAAATAAAAATTAGAATTAGGGTTAATGTTTTAATTTCATTTAGTCTTTCTCATAAAAAATTCCTAAATCCAAAAAAAAACCAAAATAATTTCTTTTTCATTTTTTAATTTAATTTAATTTCATTAAAAAGGGTCCAACGCCCTCGTTTCCAATTCTTTATTCTTTTCGCGCATTTTATTTATTCATTCTTGTAAATATTTATGTAATTCTCCCAAAGCCGTGTAAACTTAATTTCTCGCACTTTACTTTACTTTATTTCTTTATTTTCTGTCAAATCGGGTCCTGGAAATTTTGGCGATGTGGATCCGCGCCTTTGTAATAGTTTAGAACTTTTATTTCTCGTAATTTTTTAACTGTTAAATAAATGCATGCAAGAATGAATGACAAAAATAAAAACAAACGCGTAGATCATTTTGACATGACAAGACAAAAATAAACGAATCTGACACACAAATCACACACCACCCCTAGGGTACGCCTCACTGTTGCCTTGCCTCGAAAGGTGATCGTCGAGCAGAGGATGTCTTAGTAAGTCCTCATGATCCGGGAACCTGGCATGAGGGTAGCTTCTAAGGTGTCTTCCCATTGCTCTGGTGATCACCATGTCCCGAACCTTCGAATTGACCCGAACACCTCCAACGGTGGTGCTACCTACCTCTCAATGGTAGGATGGCATTACTTTAAAGGACATCTACACAGACGAATTCCTTAGGGTAGGTAGACAACTCTAGATACTTGCTCTAATTTCAAATCAAAATTCAAAAATACTTTTCACACCAACACATTTTCAAAAAGCTTTCGAAAGCAACTTTTCAAACACTCTTGAGGACTGATACAAGAGTCGAACTGGAATTTTCAAAGAAACTTTTTAAAAACCCACAGTTGAAAAGCAAACAAACCATTTTTGAAAACACAAATGAGCAAGTATCTAAGAGCCCATGGATAACCATGGATAGAAAGGGTGCTAACACCTTCCCTTTCTATAATCTACCTCCCGAACCGAGAGCAATCTCTTTAAGGAATTTTTCTGTGCTTTTGTCCTTTCCATTTGGAAAAAATAAAAGACGGTGGCGACTCTTGCTTCCGCGACATTTTGCGAACCAGCGTTAAACAGTCAGTTCCAGATCCACCGATCACAGAATGCATGTAACACTATTGGATGTGATGGGAGGCGCCTTAGAGGTTGCAGTGTAGGTGCAGTGTAGGCGCATGCTAGGTGGCAGCCTTGGAGAAGGCATCTCTAAATGCATGTAACACGATTGGACATGAAGGGAGGCGCCATTGGACTTGGCGAAAGAGTACAAAAATGAAAGGTGTTTCCATCCCTGTTGGCGAATAAGAGGTGGCATGGGTTGCAAAGTAGGCGCAGGCTAGGTGACAACCTTGGAGAAGGCATCTCTGAATGCATGTAACACTATTGGACGTGATGGGAGGCGCCTTAGAGGTTGAATTGTAGGTGCAGTGTAGGCGCAGGCTAGGTGGCAGCCTTGGAGAAGGCATCTCTGAATGCATGTAACATGATTGGATGCATGTTGGTTAATTCAAATTCAGTATGACCTATTTAATCTTACATTTATCAAAACACGGATACACTTAATCTCTCAAACAGTAGAACATTAAAAAATTCCAACAATTAACTCATAAACTTCAAACTTTCCTACCTTCAAACCTTCAAACAGTCATACACAATGGCCTTTGCACCCCAATATGTGATCAGTGCACATTTCAACGGTGAGACATACATTTGTCCCACCTCTGGGATTTTGTTTAGAGACACTGAGAACATCTGATTTTGTTTAAACAGGAAAGCCAATTTCTTGTACTTCAAAAAATGATTGGAGGCCAAACTTGGACGAGGCCCCGTGACACAAATATTTTATCAGAATCCGGTTTTTTTGGTAACAACCAAATAATATTTTATAAGGTTGAGGTTCAAGATGACTAGGATTTTCAGAATATGTTTTCCATTCATGAGTATTCTGGGTACGACTCTATTTAGTTGTACATTATGCTGCGAGAGCCTCAGCTGTCACAAGTGGTTGATCCTTTGGAGACCGAACAAGCAGAAGTAGATGCAGTTGATGAAGAAGAAGAAGATGGCGAGTTGGAGTTTGACGAAATGGTCAATGATGATTCCAAAGACGACGGGATATCTGGTATTCCTGCAAATGAGATCTACACACCACCTCTGCACATGACAAACTTTAAAATGGGTGGAGATGAACCGTCTTCTGATTTATTTTTCAATCCGTATATGCAGTCGGATGAAAACTTAAAAGAGAAAGACAAATTTCGTAACAGAGGAGAATGTATCAGAGCCATCAAAAAATTTCACATGCTCAACTCGGTAAATTTTAAGGTGGACCGTGTAAACCCAGAAAGGTACAAGATCAAGTGTGTCCACCCTGATTATATGTTTAAGCTCACTGCATCATACAAATTAAGAGGTGATTGTTGGGTCATAGGTTCCATGTCTACCCACACTTGTGTCAGTTCTACTCAATCACAGGATCATCTAAAACTTAATTATGATCTCATTTGTCAAGAAATCCTACCACTCATCAGCAATGATCCATCATTGAAGGTGAAAACCATAATCTCCCACATCATTATGGTATTTAACTATACTCCGTCTTACCGAAAGGCATGGTTAACAAAGACCAAGGCAATTGAAAAGGTATATGGAAACTGGGAGGAGTCATACCAAGAACTTCCTCGCTACCTGAATACACTCCAGACTTATTCTCCGGGTACTGTTTACATTCTGGAAACAGTTCCAGCATACACCCCGGATTGTAGTCAACTCAACAGAAATGGAATATTCAGTCGAGTGTTTTGGGCTTTTCAACCTTGCATCACAGGGTTTGCGTCATGCAAACCAATTATACAAATTGATGGGACTTTGTTGTATGGGAAATACAAAGGCACGCTACTGATGGCAGTTGCACAAGATGGAAACAACAATATTTTCCCAATTGCCTTTGCCCTAGTCGAGGGGGAGACTGGTGGTGCTTGGAGATTTTTTCTTTAAAATCTGCGAACACACGTGGCTCCTCAACCAAATCTCTGTTTGATCTCTGATAGACATGCATCCATTGAAAGTGCATACAATAATCCTACAAATAGTTGGCATGACCCTCCTTTTACGCATGTCTATTGCGTTAGACATATCATCCAAAATTTCACGAGGGAGATCAAATACAAAACACTTAGGAAAGCGGTTATGAATGCGGGATATGCATTGACACAACCTACGTTCAAATATTATCGCAATGAGATCCGTTTGTCAAATCTGGAAGCTGGTAGGTGGATCGATAATATTCCGGTAGAAAAATGGACTAGGTCATACGACAATGGACAAAGATGGGGCCATATGACAACAAATATAATTGAATCGATGAATGGGGTATTCAAAGGCATACGAAACCTCCCGATCACTGCTTTGGTTAAATCAACATATTTTAGGATGGCTTCGTTGTTTGCCAAAAGAGGTGAAATGTGGAATGCGGTGTTGTAATCTGGACAACTATGGAGTGAAAGCTGCATGAAGTACATTAAGGCAGAAAGTGCCAAAGCCAACACCCATATGGTTATACGATTTGACCGACACAGCCACAACTTCATTGTCAAAGAGACAATCGACCACAACGAGGGCCAGCCAAGACAAGAATATAGGGTTGTACTACCTTCTCGTTGGTGCGATTGTGGCAAGTTTCAAGCCTTTCGTATACCTTGCTCTCATGTCATTGTCGCGTGTGCCTATACTCATCAAGACGCGCTACAACTTCTGTCACACATTTACAAATTTGAAACGTTGCTCAACGTTTACAACAACAACTTCCATTTGGTAGCAAAACCAGATTACTGGCCTGCATACGACAGCGAAATAGTATGGCATAATGACCAAATGCGAAGGAATAAAAAGGGTCATCCCAAAAGTAAGCGCATCACAACCGAAATGGACTCCCTTGACAAGCTTGAAAGAAAGTGTGGTTTATGTTGTCAGGTCGGACAAAATCGCAAAAATTGTCTGAATCGGGCTACTGCCTCAACCACATAAAAATTGTATTACAAAAAAATATTTCCTTTATTATGTTGTAAACATTAGGGTTTTTTGTTAACAATATTTGTTACAATAAACATTGCGCGAACAAGAAAAAAAACACGATAAACCGTCTACGAAATTAGAAACGTTAAAACAATTTCATCTGACCCATGCATCATAAACATTACGTCGCTGTCTGTTTTGACTTCCTCCAACCAAAAATCAGGTCTTCCTGTCGCAAGTGATGTTGTTGTCCGTCTTCGCTGGATCCTTTTAATTTGTTCCCCCTCTACGATGTCTCCCTCTAGCCATCGCATCAACTCCCTCTTCAGACGCTCCATGGAGTGAATGTGCCAGAATTTCATTTTCATCGGAGGTTTTGTGGCGGAGAAAATAATGTAACCATCTCTGGTAAAAATCATGGGAGATGTCATGACGCAAATAACAGAGTAAAAAATAAGAGAACAATGCGATAAAGTGTGAGAAATGACAGATAAACGAACGAATTATTTATAAAAACAGCATTTTGCCCTAGGAGCCAAGTGAGATGGCGCCTCCTCTCACCTTTAAAGTGCATGCGCCATCTCACTTGGCTAAAAGAGAGAGGAGGCGCCAAGTGGGATGGCGCCTAGGGAAAACATGTGAGTGGAGACGCCAAGTGAGATGGCTCCTCCCTTGGGGAGTTTTCTGGCGTAATGTTTTCCGAAACATGGTTATTTGCAACAAAAAAAATTTAATACATGGTTATTCCAAAAAAAAATTCACACTTCTTAGGTTGCATTTTCTGTTCAGAAGAATCACTAGAGCTCAAGTGTCCAAAAGAGAAATAATTTAAGGATTTGTTCAATGATGAGTTCCTCTGATGATAATCAATTATTTGTAATCCCTTCTAAATACTTGTTGCCAAGGACTCAGTCAGACCTGGAAAAACCTTGCTTGATCTTAGTGAGGATCGCATAAGTTCATCCTTTGTAAATGACTTCCTTAGCAAATCGTGATTGGAACTAGAATTTTCTTTTGCCAGTTTGTTTGAACTTCCAAGACAGCTAGATGAAAAGGACACACTATTCTTCTGTGTATTTCTGATTTTTGGAGATTTAAAAAGTTGTGGTTCCTCAAGTAGCAATAGAGCCCGATAAGACGAGCTAACGGAGATATTATCTGTAAATGAATATTTGATGGCCCTTGAAGAGTAGTTGGCTGATTCATACAAGGTGTCATCTGATGCCACACTATCCTCAAGACAAATCTTGCTAAATGATTCTCCTAAACATTATTCCGATTCAATTTCTTTGATAACAAAATCTTGACTTATACTTGAATTCATGTTATCAAGAGAAGACTCAAATGACCCCTCACCACTACTATGCAGAAGAGATACGACTTTCTCCAATTTCTTATCATTAATCTGGAAAATTAGTGTTTCCTCTTCTTCTAATCCAAAACCATGTTCATTATTATCGTCATCATTAGAAACTGCGAAATCATCAGTTTCGAGGCGAACATCGTCAATGTGGTTTTCAGAAGGATGTGAATCGATAGGAACCTCTTTTTCAGTAGCGATTTGTTGAGATAAGAATCTAGGGTTGTTAATAGAGTTGGAAAATTGAGGAGAATCTAAGAAAGAAGAAATAGTAGATTGTGTGGGGTTTATTGCCAAATTATAGAGAGGAACCTGGATCGGTGAAGCGTGTACGGTGTTAAAGTTTCGAAGAATAGCACATCTTTGTCGTATAGGTATCGACCTCCACATTTTTTTCTTTTGATTTGAAACTACGGTGGCGCCACCTTGTTCTCTGGTAGGGTTCAGTGAGCTAACGAGAAGGCTAGGTGTGTTTGTTGTGGTGTGATGTGTTTTCTTAAAACAAGAAAGAGACACTTGCAAATGCTTCTTAAAATCTCTTCTATTATTAGAGTGGATTTGGTATTTGTATGGTATAGAAATTTATAAAGCAATAGTAAGGGTTGTATTTGTGGGGTAAAATAGGGGAATGCTGCATGGATATGAGTAATGAGTATGTGGTGAATACCCATGATTTAGATACAAACTTGGTGATGATGATCCAACATGAGTGTAATAAGGTGTAAAAAATTCCCATGAAAAAGATGGAAATGAAGGTGTGGTAGGAGTTAGAAAAGAGGAGTTTGTGGGATAGGTATGAGGAATGCTCCATGGATGATATGAAGGTGTATGATAAAGATGATCCATAGGAGGATTTGAGTATATGGATGAAAGCACCAATTGATAGAAAGATTCCTATCAAAACTTTAAACTAGGGTTTTCTACACTAAAAGAGGAAGAACATTAAATTGAATAAAATAAAGAAAGATAAAAGAATTTTGATTTGATTCTTGATATCCTAAAATGTGTCAAAGATACTACATATTGTTGTACCCCAAAATTTTCCCTCGTATTTTTCCATAAGAAATCACAGCTTCGGGCTTTTCCTGATTTTTTCAGATTGGCATAAGAATCAGTCAAACAGACTTTTCTTATCAGTCAGACAAAATTAGGGTTTTCAATGATTTTAAAGCAGTTCAGGCAGATTGCTAAGGTTTTTTGAGTTTGACTCAGGATTTGATCAGGCAGGCGCTTCTGTGAAAATTAAGACAAGAATCAGGGTTTTGTGCGCGCAGAAAGAATCAATCCTACAGTTCTATTCAGTTTACTCTGAGATTTGGATTGAGGCATTTGAATCAAGAACTTGCAGTATTTTGTTTAATCAGTAGAGGCTAAGGCATTTGATTTGAGATGAGATAAAGGTTGAGGTACTTAAATTGAGAATCTGCAGTGTCTGATTTAATCAGTAAAAAGATAAGTATCTGGATATTGGTTTGATTAACTGTGCATTATTTAAATGGAGCGCCAGGTTTATTATTGATTCAATGATAAGACCACAATGTTTGTTAATTATTTTTCTAAGTCAGAATAATTGGATACTTCCAGTTATTTTAATTTAAGAAATTCAAATAATTAAATGAACATTGAATTGAAAGAAGAATTAACTGATAAAAAAAGGGGGATGTTTATTTATTTTGAATTGTTTGTTACAGATATTATTTAAATACTGTAAATTTATTTACAGTTATTTATATTAATACTATTACAAATAAATTAAAATGGAAATAAAACTATCCTAAAAAAATTCCTAAGTCTTCAAATCTTCAGCTTCTACCGCTACTCCTCTCCATTTGATTTCTATCTGCAAAAAGAAAAGAAGAAGTCAAAAGCAGATAAATTTAAAGACAGACAGATAAAAAATGAAATCATCATTAAAAGCAACTGGCTGGAATCAGTTTGCCCTCTCTGCAAATCACGAGATTTTCTCCCGATTCACAAAGAGGGATGAAAAATGCTTGCAAAAGAAAAAGACATGAATGCACAAAGTTATGATTTTGCACAAGTTCAAATTGTCAACCAACTGCATAGTTTCAAAACAAACAGCATGTACAAGTCTAAATGCAAACTGAACTGAATTGCCTAACTGAAATTCATAATTTCAAACTTTCCACAAGCTGCCAAAGAGCTATCAAAAGGCTATTCAAAACAAGTACAAAATGTTGTCACAAAGAAGCAGAAAATATGGAAAAAGAGATAAGAGTTATGCAGAGGAAAGCAGCTATTGCAAGCAAAGATTCAAGGTTACATCATTTTCAGACCAGTCACCTTTTCAGAATAGGACAAACATAAGCAATATAAAATATGCTTTTAATCTGTCAAAAAGAGAGAGAGAGAGAGAGAGAGAGAGAGAGAGAGAGAGAAGAGAAAAAGAAGATAGGCTTACGGGCTTAGGCTTGAAGAAATATATAAAAACAAACTGTTATCAAGACAGTAAGGGGGGGCAGAATAATATATCAAGAAGCTCTAAACAAAAAGCAGAAAAGCTCAAAACTGTAACAGAAGACAGTCCTGCCTGAAGCCTAAGCTTAAACCTCACAAAAGGCCATCAACCTGCTCAAACCCTAAAAACATACAAACTGTATCAAACACTTAAAAACACCATCATATCCAAACCTCACCAAAAACCTTACCTGATGCAAACCTAAACCTGTCAAAAGGCCAAGAACATCAAACAACCAAACCTCAAACTGTCAAGCCTTAAACAGCTCAACCTTCAAAGCCTCTCCAAAAACCAACACAAGCCAAAACCTGTGGCCTGTAACAAGGCCTAACTTGCTTCAAACTCAACCCGCTGAAGCCAAACAGAAGCCAAAAACCTGTGCATAAACCAGAAGCCTAACCAACAGGCCCCCCCTCAGAACGGTGTTCATCATTGGGCAAGCATACAAGCAAGCAACTATATTCAGCATACAAGCATACTCAGGCACAACATACCAAATACCAAACATATCAAAGGCATCAAGCCATCATACAGCAACAGAAGCCAACAAGAAGAAGAAGAAGAAAAGAAGCAATATTCAAGATCATCAAGGCAACTCAGCATTTCAGATGAAAGCATATCAGCAATAAACAAATACACGCAGGCAACTCAGAAGCCAACATAAGAAGAAGAAAATAAGTGATATCAAACTAAGGTTCTCAAATATCATCATTGAACCAACACTCAAAAAGGCAAAAAATACAGAATACCAGGGTTTCCAAGCAAAGCGCGCATCATCACCAAGCCTCCGCCTTGGCCGCCTGAGCGCCTCCACGTCCACCATCCTCCTCCAACGAAGGTAGTATCTTTTCTTCTCTTTCCTTTAACGCTCCTCAAAAAGAATAAACAAACAATAAACATCAAAACCATAACATGTAAGAATCAAAGCATGCGTAAACGTGAAACCCTCAAAAGATGCGTTGGGATAAAAGTCTTACCTTTTTTTCCGTTGCTTGAGCAAACGCGAGGAGGAGGATGAATGATGGCGCTCGGTGGCTCTGGACGGAGGTTCTGCTCAGACAAGCTTCGGTTTGAGAAGAAGAGAAGGACGAAGACGAAGACGAACGACGACGGCGCCTCTGTGTTCAAACAAACCCTAACATCCAAATGACATAAAACATTGCAACCCTAAACGAAAAGATCAAACTTGCACAATGGGCCTTGCCCTTTTCCAAACGCCTGAAGCCCATTAAACGCGCACCTCCCTTTTGTTGTTTCTCAGTGAGTTTTGGTTGGGCCCATAATCCACCCTTAAGCCCATTCCTTTTTTATACATAACTTAACTTCTTTTTTTTTTCTTTCTTTCTTAATAATAATATTACTAACACTTTTCATTAATACATAAAACTTAAAACTCTTTTCTTTTCTTTTATTAAAACTCTTTTTTTTTATTTAAATGTAAATCTTGCTTAAAACATTTGTAAAAGATACATAAAGAAATAGATTTTTTAGTTTGAATATTTTTTTTTAACTAAAACATTTTGTACATAAAAATACTAAATACAAATACACTAACATTAATACATAATACATAGAACTTAAAACAATTTTCTTTTTCTTAATCTTAAAACTTTTTTTAAAATGTTTGTACATAATTACATCAATACATAATTTTTCTTTAAGTTAAATACTTTTCTTTTCTTAAAATATTTTCTTTGTACATATTAACAAAAATACAAGAATACGAATAAAAAAATACATTGAATACGTTAAGTTAACGATACTTAATAAATACGCTTTCTCAACTTGTAAATAAATCCCATTCACATACACTTACACAAATGCAATTAATACATTTACATTGCTCTTACACATTTACATTATTCTATTCTTATACATTGTTATACACTACATATTACATTTGCGCAATTCGATTTGGTTGTAAATTATTTGGACACTACTCTCCTAAAGTCTCATCCCCATTTGTAAATTTGTACCCCCACTCCCGGATACTTATTTGTAATAGCGTGGACTTTAAATTCCCGTAATTTATCGCTTTCAAATATACCATGGTTAGACCTAGGGTTTGCATGTACATAAAATCAAACGCTAGATAACCTAATACAAGACAAATACATGAAATCAATACACAATCACACTTGCACCCCTAGGGTAATCCCGCTTGTTGCCTTCCAAAATGGGCCATGCTTGCACGTCGAGTTTCTTTGGCAAAATAATTCAAAATGATCATAAGTCCCTCAATGACGCTTTTGAAAGTTGCCTAATCAAAATGATCATAGTCCCTTCAAGCAAATTGCCGAAGACACTTGGCACCATTGCATTCATGGTCCATACGATGACCCGCGCCTGTCCCGTTAAACATCTTAAACGCAAGATTGTCCACCAAATACAATGGTGGAACAAAATTGTTAAAAGGGTTAAAACATGAGAAAAACCTTTGAGTATAATAGGGTAGACAAACTCTTAGTTACTTGATCAAACTTGCAAAAACACACTTGCCTACTTTTCAAACCACACTCCACAACACTTTCAAAACAAACTTCCAAAAACATTTGAAAACATCTTTTCGAAAATATACACACCTTCGTATATACTCAAACACGAGTCATTACAATGGTTGCCGAAACAAAGGCGTCTATTTCAAAACATTTTTCAAAACACACACACACACACCACCATTTCAATTGATTGAAAATCAAAGGCAAGTTGATCTAAAACCAAGTAACTAAGAGCCCATGGATAACCATGGATGAAAAGGGTGATAATACCTTCCCTTTTCATAATCTACCCCCCCGAACCCACGAAACATCTCAAAAGGTTTTTCCTGTGCTTTTTAACCTTTCCTTTAGGATAAAATAAAAAGTCGGTGGCGACTCTTGCTAAACCGAACAAGTGCGAATACAAAACGCAA